ATTTTCTTTGAGTTCTGCTTTTATTGAACATATTTCAAAATGTTGGCAGAGAGCTCTCCATATCTTTATGGGGTTTTATAATTATAGCCTAGATCTATAACCATTAGCCTAGATGGTGTAGAATGCACAAGTCTGAGTGTTAGCATCACCCTGTTTCACTGGTTGCACGTGGTGTTATTTCTTCATTTTACCAACTTGGTTTTAATAATCTAAGTACTCTTCACACTGTTTGTGCAATATGGGCCTCACCCTTGAGCAGTCTGAGAAGAGTTTGCATACACACAAATGCTGCATAAATCCACATTACTGAACACCTGGAGAAGAAGTTCAAACTGGAGAAAATGTTTTATAGCCACCCTTGGCACATGGCACTGGCTGCGCTCTAAGGAGAGGAGTTTCAAGGAGGTGATAAAACCTTGGAAAGAATGTGCAATCGTCATACTGCTGGAGACTTGGAGAGGATGAATGTCATAAGCCCTCTGGTCTTACCTTACCTCCCTGCGGCTTTCTAGGCAAGAAAAAGGAGTTCTGGCCTCTCTGTTTTTGCCTGTTCCTCACTATTGGAAAAGGGATGAGCTCTGGCATCCGTCTGTTTTAGTGATAGTCACTAAATCAATGTAAGCCCAAGGGTTGGTTCTACATGTTATGGTTAATTTAGACCTGGAATCTTTAGGGTTAATGTAAGATGTATACACAGATAATTACTACTCAGAGAAATAGGAGGGTACTTCAAAAAGCTCATGGAAAAATAGAATTAAAAGATAATATGAATCTTTCCATGAACTTTTTGAAGACCCCGTGTATGTGATAACAGCAATAATTGCTCTATTAATATTTGCTGAGTGAAAAAATATAAAAGCTCTCATTTATTTGCCAAATGATCATCAACTATCCTCTCTGTGTCAGATGGAAAGATCCTCAGGTCCTAGTCTTCAAGGAATTAAATCTCATGTGAATGAGAGACAGTTTCCTATAAATGCCATATTAAAAACTGACTGATTTTCCTATGTTTAAGCACTTTAACAAATAAAATCATTTTCATCACCATCTGATTTCTTACTTTACGAAACACAAAGCATTATGTATTATCAAGAGAGGAAACCTGCCTCATAGTGAAAATTCATTACGTAATAGCAGTTTTGAACTGCAGTGAGCTGCGAATGTGGGTCGCTAGATGACTGGAACATTTCCCCTCCCTCCTGCAGATTAAAGTCGCTGTGTCTGCACACAGAGATTGTATCCAGGCCTACCAGCCTCAGATTTCTTCTACTAACAACAACACCTTAACACTAAATGTTAAGACGTGTGAACCTGATAATCTCTTCTATCTCGGTAGCAGCACCAGTGTAAGTTATGGTCCTGTGGAATGCAACGATGACTCTTAGGAATGTATATATTTACTTAATTGACACTTTGGCTGATGGGGAAAAAAAGGGCTTTAGAAAAATCACTAAATTCTTTTTTTTTTTTTTTGGAGAGACCAGTAAGGGGATTGCAACCCTTGGCTTGGTGTCACCCGCACCGTGCCCAGCCAGTGAGTGCACCGGCCATCCCTATATAGGATCCGAACCTGCGGCCTCGGTGCTCTCAGTGCCACACTCTCCCAAGTAAGCCACTGGTTCGGCCCCAAAAAATCACTAAATTCTGCTGTAGGGACTAACCTTTGCTAAAATGGTAGCATTAGATTAAAAGTAAACAACCTGCAAACTTGAATGCCTATGAGGACTGAAATGACATTTCTGAACGATGGGTCCCCCTGCCATCTTAATAGCAAGTCGTGGAAATACAACACTGCGTGATGCCCTCTGTGACCCCTGCAGTGACTGAGTATCAGAATTGTAGAGTTTTACCCAGGCCCTTCCTGCCAACAAGATTCCAGATCACTGATGCCTTGGCTGTGCCAGTGGGATGGGTCAGAACCCTTGGGAGTGTTAGGGCAGAATTGTTAACAAGCACACATGGGATCTGATGTGTCTTCTTAAGAGACGAGACTAGAGTGCAGGCAAGCCCCTGAGTGGGATTCCATGGCTCCCATCTTGCAGAGAATATTTCACATCCATTTGTTGCCTCTGAGACTGGGCAGAAGGACAATTGCAGCGCCGTCTCCCATGCTCCCTGGGACGGCTGGTTTTCCTGGGGAACTGTAAGGGGGGCGTTGTGGAGGGCTGTGCCAGGCATGGACAGGAGGTGCCACTGTGCAGTCGTGGTCGCTGTCCCCAGTACTCTGAGTCGGGTTCCACCTCCAGGGAGGGAAGCGTTGAAAGACAAGAGAAGATAGCTTTTTGGTTTTGCTTTATTTTTTTCTTTTTAAGAATAGAGAAAAAGCTGTAAGAATTTGTTTTTTAAAGTGTTTTGGTGGTCATGCCAGCAGTCCAGTGGATAACCCCATCCCCACTCGTGCCCCACCCAGTCTGACTTCCTTGCTGTGGAGATGCAGCGAGGGAACGTGGCCTTCCTCTGGGAGACGGGCTCTGGGTCAGCATGGGTGCAGTTTCCTGACTTCCCCGCTGATGACAACCAATGGCACAGCATCCATGTATCCAGGTAGTGGAGAAGGTGCTCTTGGAATTATCTCTCTTAGTAAACTGTGTCTTACAAGTAATTACATGCTTGTGACATCATATAGGCTTTGAAACTTCTGGAAAGTCAGATTATAATCAAAGAATACTTGGTTTAGATTACAGAAATAAGAGCTTGGGTTTTTTTCTTATTACAGAAGAAATAAACTTTGTTATCAAAATTAACTATCAAAAGAAGAAAAAAAAGTTTAGATTACCTTTAGAATGTTACCGTTAGAAAGTCTAAATCTGAAGCAGCCAACCAGGTAAAATGCATAGTCCCCAGTAAAGAGGAGTATAACGTGGCGTGATAGAAATGCCACGAGGCGGGCAGTGCTATGCAGGCAGCGAGGTCACACGTGAGGAGGAGGACATTTCCTTAAAATTCAGATACAAGGCAAAATTCTTCCTTTTGAAGCTTCACTCAAGAGGCTTTTTTAAACAGCTTGAAGTATATTTTTCTTTTCACTTTTCAAGAGGCTTTTTTAAACAGCTTGAAGTATATTTTTCTTTTCACTTTTCTTTAATATTATGGTTTGTTATTGGTGGTGCACTGTTGGGAATTTTTTTCTTTGTTATTTGCAAAATAGGGTGATATTGAGTGCAATCGACTGTCTTCAAGTATAGTTTAGCACATGTTCTGTAAGTATTTTAAGCAAGAATGTAATGTGATGAAATTTATTTCAGAAGAAATATTCTACATGATTTGAGGAGAAATTTGGGGGCATGGCGGGCAAGACAAGAAACAGGGGACCCATTGGGGGGCTGTTATGGTGGACCTGAGAGAATCAGAGGGAGGCTGTGTATGGGACACAGGGGGATATGTGTGTGCCAACTTGAAATTCTGAAAGTTCCTTTTGCCATTTTTTGTGACCTTTAGGTTTGGAAACACTGGTTCGTTGAGTGTAAAGGAAATGAGCTCAACTCAAAAGCCACCAACAAAAACAAATAAATCTCCTGGAACAGCTGATGTTCTGTATATAAACAACTCAACCCTAATGTTTGTTGGAGGACAAATCAAGGTAACACTCTGAAAGTTTATCTGAACAGGACTGGCTGGTTTTACCTGTATATAAAATTAATATGCTTAAATTGTTGAATATATCCTGGTTAAATGAAGATTTTTCTGCTTTGTATGAGTCCATTTCTGTTGCTTATAACAAGATATATGGAACTGGATATTTTATAAAGAAAAATGAAATTTATTGCTTACAGTCCCTGAGGTTGGGAAGTCCAAAGTCCATCTGGCGGTGGTGACAGTGACCCAGGGGTCTTACATTGCAAGATGGTGGAAGCAGAGAGAGCAGAGAAAGAGAAAGACGGAACTTCTTCTCTCTTCTTTTAAAGCCCTCAGAACCACGCCCCTGACCACCATTTTTAATCCATTCACTACTGCAAGGCCCCACAATCCAATCACCTCTTCAAGGCTCCACCTTTCAATTACCATAATAGGATTTCCCACCCTCTTAACAGTCACAGTAGAAACCAAGTTCCTCATACATAAAACTTGGGGGACACAATTCAAGCTTCAGTGAGTTTGGGAGGAACGTGAGTCAATCCACTATATGCTTTTATTATTTTTCTTTATGTCAGCTCATCTGCAGAGCTGGGCTTGTTTTGTAGGGTAAAGGATCATGCTTAATCAGTAGTGTAAATGGAGCAGGAGCCAATGGTTCATTTTGTTATTTGGGTTTCTTTTCCAATGATGAAACAGGAAATTCAGTATTCCATATTAATTTCCATAAAGTTCTTTTATCTCTGTTGTAAGTCTACTGGCAGATTAATACTAATTAGTGTTTAGCACTCCATAAGTGGAAGAAAATCCAGTGATTACAAACTGACCATTTTTCTGAATGTTGTTCTCTCAAAATTTGGATCTCTTAGATTTAAACTTCCAAGGAGAAATTTCATGAACTTAGGGAACTTATTCCTTTACACCAAATCTACGTGAGTTGTGTTTGTTTGTTTACATTTGAAATCTCCTGCTGTGAATGTTACTCATTTTAAAGGCTGCATTGGAGAGGCCTTCTTGAATGGAAAATCCATTGGCCTGTGGAACTATATTGAAAGGGAGGGCAGGTGCCATGGCTGCTTTGGGAGGGAAGCCATCCCACGACTTAGCACACAGTATGTCATGCTGCTTACCTCTGAGACCTGCTTAAAGAATTCATGTGAACATCAAGGATGGACAGTGTTAGTGACATTGGTCATCAACATTGGATATGATGTAGATTATTTACTAACAGAAGCATGATATCATTTTTAACCCATAAAAAGAAGTGCTCTTTTTTCTGTGTCTTGTATGCTTTTATCGTGGATCATAAAATCTAGAAGCTTCAGACATCTGCTCAAACAACCTTCTGTCTCAAAGAGCCACAGTTAAGTCTTACTTAAATCACTGTACATTTTTATTTTGAAAATACCTCCAA